CGGGAGGCCTCTTTCGTCCAGGCTTGTCACGCCGGTTCCCTGCCCCTCCCTTCTCGTCTTGCCCTCCCCCTCCTCCTTTCTCCTCCCTCCTTCCTCCACCTCCCTCCTCCTCCTCACTCCCCACCCCCGCCCTTGGTCCGACCCCTCACCCTCTCGCTCCCCCTATTCCCGCCGTCCCCGGTGTCCCTGCGCCAGGCGGCACGACCGCCGCCATTGCCGTCCTGAGTGACCAAGGACGCGGCGGGGATGTGGCCAGTCGCGGAGCGGGGACTGGCCAAGGGAGGGGCGGAGAGGAACGGGAGTGGGAGGAGGGGTGGAAGAGCAAGAGGTGGAGGAGGAGAAGGAGGAGGAGGAGGAAGGAGGAGGAGGAGGAGGAGGAGGAGGAGGAGGAGAAGACGACGCGAGCAGGGGAGGACGAGGACGAGTTGGAGTTGGCGGAGGAGAAGGGAAGAGGGGAGCATTAAGACGAGGCCGATAGCGTTTGTCATCAATGTTATTCTGACGACGATGAAGAGGATGAGGATCAGAGAGGGCTGAATAGCGGTGTGGGCGCCAGGTCGAGCGGATTGACAAAGGAACACATGCCATTCATATTTCATTGTTTCTGAATCGTAGTCTTGCTCTTCAAGGTTTATGTTTTCTTCCGGAACGTACACACATACACAAACACCAATCTACCGATCTACCCACCGACCAACCTCCTTACCTACTTACCTACATACACACATACACATACAGACAGACAGGCATACGTACACGCACACACACATACATACACATACGTACATCCATACATCCTTCCATCCCTACCTACCTACCTGCCTGCCTGCACACATGCACACATACATCTATCCATCCATCCATACATGCATACACGCAAACGTACATGAATGCATACACATGCATACATCCATACCTACATCCATGCAGGCACATGTACATACATATATACAATCATACGTACATCTGTGCATCACCACATGCGTACATCCATACATACATACATACTGCCGTACATACATACATGCATGCATGCATGCATCCATGCATACATACATACACATCGACATACATACACACATCCGTCCATCCATCCATCCCTGCCTACATACATACCGACACACGTATGCACATATACACATACATACGTACATGCACACATATGTACATACATACATCCATACGTTCACACATGTACAAACCATACACAGCATACATAAATACATACATACACACATACATACATACAGACATACATAACACAATACATACATACAACCACACGCGCATACATGCATACACATACACACACACACACGTAGATACATACAGACATACACACAAACACACACACACATACATACCCACATACATACATGTCTGCACACATGCACACATACATCATACGTGCATGTATACATGCACATATACATATACACATGCATACATACATGCATACATACGTATCCACGTACCTGCGAACCTGCGTACGTTCGTGCATACATACATCTATACACATACCTACACACATCCACACATACATACATACATACGCGCACACAGGCAAGCACACACATGCATGCACACATACGTTCACACATTACTACACATACACACAACCATACATCCATACACACAAGCATACAGTCATGCACACACATACACTTATACATACATGTATACATACATACATACATTCATACATGCATGCATGCATGTATGTATCCATGCATACGTACATGCACACATACACACATCCATTCATCCATCCATCCGTACCGACCTACCTACCTACATATCGACACACATATACATATATACACACCATACACGTGCGCATTTACATACATACATCCGTACATACATGCACCTACATACACACCATGCTACATACATGCATGCATACATACATGCATACATACACACATGCAGCCACACACATGCATGCATCCATACACACATACGCGCAATCATACATACATGGAAACACACAGACCTGCTTACATACGCACATCCATACACACATACGTACATACATACATACACATACATACATACATACGTGTGTGCATGCATGCATGTATACATGTATGCATGTATGCACGCACATACGCACGTACATACATACATACATATATACACACATATATATACATACATATATATGTATGTATATATACACAAACACACATGCATGCATGTCTGTATACACACATACATACACATACACACTGTGTAATCGGCATTGCTGGCGGTCGCATGCGCGTCTGTCAATCGGGTGGATCGCGCCAGGCACGGGGCGTCAGAAGACAGATGGAAAAGCAGAGGGTGCCCGCGGAGGCAGAAGGACGGAGGATGCGAGAGCCGCCGAGAGTCGACGGAGGACGGGGGCGCGCAGGCAGCCTCAGGCATTTTCGCGCGCAGGGAGCCCTTTCGCGCGCAGGGAGCAGCGCGCGAACGGGCGGCAGCGCTGGGGACCACCGAGGGGCGGGCCTCCGAGAGGCACGCCTCCTACGGAGGGGCGGCACGCAAAATGCCGTTGTAAACGCCAGGGCCTTCGGAGGTCGTCTTTGGGAGAGCGTGCGAACCCGGGGTTGCCAGGCTTTGCTGGGGCCCTCCAGGGTGTGGCTGCAGGGCGGGCGTGAGACCAGGGTCCAGGCCTTGCCGGGGAGCAGCGCGAGCGAGGTAGAGGCAGGCAGGCGAGAGACCAGGGTCCACGCCATGCCGTAGGGCAGCGCGGTGTTCAGCGGCGACGCCGCCAGACGCGACCCAGGGACCAGGTCTAGTCGAGGAACATCACTGTGAGGTGACGTGGAGCGCCAGGGCCTGTGCCGCAGGCGGCGGCCAGGGCGGCCGAGAAAGGAGGGCGAGAGGGGGAGGGGAGGGGACCAAGGGGAGGGTGCCTCTGAGTGTTTGCCTTCTGGAGTTACTGGTGAGGCCCTTACCACCCTGGCTGTTGTGTTCAGGCGCCCCACCTCCCCACACCTAACTGGGTCATTCTGTCACCTCGTCTCGTGCATCTCGCTTCTCACCTTTTCCTTAACGCGCCCGCGTCTCCCTGCAGGGCTTCGCCGTGGGAAGGTGGCAGGACAGGTCTGCACGGCGACAGGCACCGTCTCTTACAGCAGTTGGCAGCAGGGGGTAGGGGGCTCGTGCGCCGAGCAGCGACCTGGCCACCGGTGCAAGCCACTCCTCCCCCTCTTCCTCCTCCTCCTCCTCTTCCTCCTCCTCCTCCTCCTCCTCCTCCTCCTCCTCCTCCTCCTCCTCCTCCCCCTCCCCCTCCTCCTCCCTCTTCCTCCTTCTCCTCCTCCTCCTCCCTCCTCCTCCTTCTCCTCCTCCTCCTCCTCCTCACTGTGTGTGGAGTTTACTCGTCGCAGAGGCTGGTGTAAGGATCGTCTGCCCAGCAACGCGCTGAGCGCCCCGCAGCCCAAGGTGGACCTCAGGGGCGCCGGCGACCGTTACCTCGCCACTCGAACCCTGAGGGAGACGACCTCGTCGCAAGGACAGGTGGAAATGCAGCGCTCTCTGACTCCCCCTCTCCCTGGCAAGGGTGGGCCGCGGACTCTCGCGCAAATCGGCACCAAGACCCGCGAAGAGGAGGACCCGTGAGGCATGGCGGCGAGAGGTGGCACCTACAGTGGGGGCCCATGCCGAGAAACACCCTGCTTGCCCCCAGGGTCCCCTGGGTTTCTTGGGTTTGGATGGTTTTGTTGTGGAGAGCGTGGCGCTCCCGCGCCAACAGTCAAGGGGCGCCCTGGGGTCTCAGGGTTGGGTTTTTTGTGGAAGGCTTCTTGTGGACGGGCCTCCGCCGTGCTCGGTGCAGCGACTGGTGGAACAGACGTGGTGACAAAGAAATCGGGCGCTGCCAGGGTGGACCGCTCGCTCGCAGCCGAGGTGCTCCAGGAGCGAGCTGGGCCACCACCGAGAGCCATGCGACGCTGCGACTCGGGGTCAAGGTGGCGCAGGCCCTGGCCTCTTTCGCAGAGGTGCCTTGAGCGAGGGGGGAAGTGAGAAGGGGCGAGCCTTCTGAAAAGACTCGGAAGCCCCCAGGCCTTCTTTTAAGTTCTCGAAGCCTCCCCCGAAGACACAGGGCACTTCTCAGGAGGTGCGAGGCCCTCTGAGACGCCCCGCCGCCTTCCGAGAAGGCCTCCTCCTCCCCACTTGTTTCCCCTTCGCTCGCCGCTTCAAGCAGAGGACGGCGTGCCTCGGTGTCCCAGGCCGGGGCCTCTTTGCGCAGAGGTGCCGCCAGCGTTCTCTTGAGGGGGCGCGCGCCGCCCTCCTGCGCCCGCGGGCGCCTCCTCGTGGCGGCGGCGCCCGCGGTGCGTGCGAGTTCGCCCTCGTCGTGCCGCCCAGCTTTCGGGGCAGGAAGAGACGCACAGACACAAAGCATCGTCGAGTCCCAGGAAAACATGTGGGAACAGATGGGAAGTGGAAGGGGGAAGACGAACAACACCAACAAATATGGGATAATGTGGTGAATTCTAGGATTTGTGTCCATTATATATATATATATATATATATATATATATATATATATATATCTGTGTGTGTGTGTGTGTGTCCCTGGGCCCCTTTCGGTCCTCTCGTCGCCCAGGATCTCCTGGCGCAGTTCTCGCGCTCCCTGTGGGGCCCTCGGCCGTCATGTGGCCTCTGATGAGAGCACTGGTGAGCCGGGGTCGCGGTGTGCAACTGCGCCAGCGTTGCCAGGTGTGCCAGGCAAGCCCCTGCAAACGGGGCGTTAGTAAACGGGGTGGTAGCCAAGCGTGCGTTTTCCATTGTGCCGTCGAGAACTGGTTTGCCGCGCGCGCGTGCGAGGTAATCCCCCCGCCCAGAGCTCTGATGATGTGCCGACGATGTTGTCGTCCCTATTTATCAAGCACCAGTGCGAGGTACATGCCCTGTCGCCCTGCACTCGCTCACAGGGGCCCGTCAACCTACCGCCCCGTTTGCTGACACCCCGTTTGCAGGTGTTCGGGCCAGGCGAGCGAGCAATTGACAGCGGAGGCATCAATCCTCGCCGAGGTCCCACGGCCCCGAGATGAGCCGGGGACGCGACGAGCGGTGGGGCCTGGCGCGCCTCCAGGGTTCGGGGACGCGCCGCCGCAAGCCGCGGCAGGATGTCCGGGGACGCCATCGGGGCCGCAAGCCACGGCTTGGGGCACGGCTGGATCCCTAGGGACGTCACCAGAGCCGCTGACGTCGGCAGGATCGGACCGCATAGCTTTCACCACGTATATATATATACATGTATAAATAAACAGTATGAATGCACACAAATGTGTATGGCACCACTTAGCTTACAACACACAGCTTGCGCCACATAGCTTGCGCATCCACAGTGCCAAGCACTTACGGCATGGGGTCCACGCTGGCAACCGTTCACAGTTCAGAAGAGGGACTTCGGAAGTGGCAGCCTACCATCGACCTGGGGGTAATAGCACGTGACAGTCGTTTGGTTTTCTCCATGGTTCATTTTTTGTTTCTCTGGCGGCCAGTGCACTCTGCCGCCGGCTTCTGAGTTGTGCGTATATAGGTCTATGCTTGTACAACGTTTTCGAATTTTCGGTTGTCGGCCCAAAACATCACACAACGACCATACAACACGGGACATAACCGAAAACGGCGCGAACGAGAGTCCCCAAAAGAAGAAACACTTACTTCAAAACGGGGAACGCTACGGACAACGCCCCCCCCCAGCGTTTTAACATCGTCTGAGGCTGGCTCCCTAGGCGGAGCCATTTTGGGAATGTTACCTTGGACCATCTTCGGCCGTCCTTTGGGCATTGTTGGGCCATCTGGTAGCCTCTTCGGAATACCTCGGGGCCTCAGAGGACCACCTCTGTGGGCGATGTCAGGACAAACTGAGGCTATCTAGGTGCCATTTTTTGGGACTCTTGGGGGCGTCCTGGGTCCGACGGGGCCCGTTTTGGGCTACATTGAGCGGTGTTGGTCGTCGCGTCCTGGGCCCGGCTTGGGGCCATCTTTGACAAGTTGCGCTTCTGGGGCTCTCTTCAGGCCCTTTGGGGGGGCGCTCCTGGAGAGCCGCCTGGGCGGCGTTCTTCTCTTCGGAGTCATGGGCCAACCCAGACGCGACCGGGGGGCCGATAGACACGCCCTGCCTGAGAGGCTGTTGTTGGAGCCGCGGGCACCCTCAGTAGACAGGAGAGCGGGGACCGAGCAGAACGCTATTTAGCTTGGATCTGGCTTGTGTTTTTTTGTGTCGTTTCATTTCTCGCTGTTGTCGTGCTGTGCTTTGTTTCGGTTTCGTGTCCGTTCGGCACCCGTTCCGTTCGAAACGTTTGCTTTGAGCGTTCGGCTCTGTTTCGTGTCTCGTTCGAAACGCCAGCGCGTTTGAAACATCTTTTGTCCTCGGCCGCTGCAGTAGAGATGAGGCGGGGCAGGAGAGACAAGACTCAGGAGGGGAAACAACACACAGACACAATTAATCGTCGATCCCCAGAAAATATGGGAAAATATGGGAATTGGGCGGGAAGACAAAAACCAAAAAACAAACTGGAAAGTATGGGGCATCTTGTTATTTGTGTGTATTTATTTGTGTGTCCCAGGGCCCCTTCAAAGACACAGGAATCGGCGATCGACGTCCGATCCACACCCCTGCTGCTGCCACCCACCTTCTGGGCGCCAGGTGCAGAAGGGCATGGATCAAAGAAAAAACGTGGTTTGATCCCTACTGTACAGTCGGGGCGCTGAAGAAGGAACCCTTTTCGTTGGGGAGGGGCTCAGTGTTCCTTGATTGTTGTGCAATTTGCTTTAGGTTTCCCTAAGGTTTTCCATGGGAAATCGAAATTAACTTCTTGGAAAAAGAGGCATCGTTCCCTATTTAAGGTTCCTTAGGTCAACGCCCCGACTGTAGGTTCACGCGACGCTGGCGCGCTGGCGACGCCAGCGAAGGCGTTCAAGACCGATTTCTGCGACGCGGAAGCATCGGTGGACGCGGTAGCGTCGTCGGACCCAACTGAATTCAACCTTGAACGATCGGGGCCGCGATCGATTCAAGGTTGAACAATCGACGCGGTGTCAAAGATCTTTGCGCGCGCCGACGCCGCACGAACCTACCGTATCCCCGCTCTAGCTCCTCGTGGGGGTCGGGACGCGGGCAGGGGCATAGATAACATGTCGATCGCCCAAGGAATCACCACCCGCCAAACCACCCCAATTCGACCCGAAGGCCTCACTTTGCCCTCCATCTCCAGTCGGGGGGGTGGTCGGGGAACAGCGAGAAAACACATATGGAACCCCTACCCCCCCCAATCCGAAGTTCGGGTCTTCGGCTTGGGTTGGGGTGGTCTGGTAGGCAGTTAAGGAAGCACGAGGACGAGAGCCATGACGGCGGCAGCGAGCGCCATCAGGGCAGCAGTCCAGCGGGGAGCCCCACCGCCCGGCGCCTCCGAGGGTGCCAGGCGGACGTTTCACGTAGGTTCGGCTCCATGCGGTGCTTCTGCACTGGGAGGAGAAGTGCGCGGTGCTCAGGGGGAGGGCTGTAGTGTGGTCCTTCATGGGGGCCCCAGAGGGTCCCACAATCTTTTGCGGTTCTTGGGGGGTTTTCGTCGGGATGACATCGCATGTTGTCGACGTTGGGATGAAATCTGGACGACATTTGGACGACAGGGTGAAGACGGGTGGTCGAAATCTGGACGACATCACGTGTATGACAGGGCCGCGGAGGTCACAGTGGCTCCCATGACGTCTGCCCCCATGCGCGGTGCAGGGGGGGGAGTTGTGAGTGCCCTGCCGAGGAGGTCACATCGGCGTGGCCAACGTCGGGGACTCCGGCCTCAGGCAGATTCGCAGGGAGCCAGGCGGGGCGACATGCTGGGGAGGCACGCAATTGGCTGTTTACGGGGTTCCCAAAGTTAATTCGGGCCTGTCCCTCTACAGGGGGAATATTCAAAAATAGTCGACAAATAGTATGGGGACGTTTTTTTTTTTTTTTTTTTTTTTTTTTTGTTTTTTTGTTTTTTGTTTTTTTTGTTTTTTGTTTTAATACTATTTTTGCCCATCGGGGAGAGTATGTTTTGAGTTTTTTTGTTTTTCGCCCAAACTCCCCTTGTAGGGGGACACGCCCGACTTAAAGTTGGCGGTTTGCGGGGTTTCCCAAAGCCGGGGAGCACACGAGGGGATCCAGCAGAGGGGGGGGGTCCGAGATCTGCCGCCACCAGCTGGTTTCGGCCTCGCCGCTGAGCGCACTCCTCGGTGCATGGGTCGCTCTCGGCGCTTCTGGGCTCTGGCAAGACTAGCTGCGTGCAGCTGGTTCGCTAGCTCTCGAAAGCCAGCAAGCGGCATAAGCATGAACAGTTGGCGCCCCGCGCGGATTTCTTGGATCTGCGTTGGGGCCCCCTGGCGGCGCCTCCTGCGCCGCCCCTGGCGCGCTCCGCGCGAGGGAGGGGGGTCCAGCTCAGTCCAAGACATCCGCGCGGACTGTCAAACATCTGTATTTTCATGCCGTTTTTGTTCCTCTGAGCTCCCCGCTAGGGCCTGCCTTGGGGTGCGCTCTGGTCGGGATTTCAAGGCCGATCACGCCGTGGCCAGGAGGAGCTTGCAGGAGGCCCGCAGGGAACGCAGCACGCGACCAAACAGAGCCGATGCCCTCGATCCTCGAACCTCGATCCTCGAAGGACCCCCTCCTCACAATTACTTGTCTCCTAGACTCGACGCGTGTACAGTGCAACATGCGTGCTGTTAGCACGGCCCTCTGTGGGGCCTGTGAGGCACATGGCTGCGGAGGTGGGGAAGAGCTGCTGATGGGCTTGTTTTCCACCACCACCACCATAAGTTGGAGGGGGAGGGGATGCTCCTCCTCCTCCTCCTCCTCCTCCTCCTCCTCCTCCTCCCCCTCCTCCACATCCTCCTCCTCCTCCTCCTCCTCCTCCTCCTGGGGGGGGCGGGAGGGGAGATGGGTGTGCGTTGTCGGATGGGGGCCACGGGAGCCCCCCTCGGTGTTCGACAGCTCGCACCCATACCTATCGCGCCTCCATTGCCATGTCGTTCTTGATGGGCCCGTTTTTCACCGCCACTACCATAGGTAGGAAGAGGAGGAGGAGGGAGGAGGAGGAGGAGGAGGAGGAGGAGGAGGAGGAGGAGGAGGAGGAGGAGGAGGAGGAGGAGGAGGAGGAGGAGTGACTTCGAGCAGCCCGAGGCGCGGGCGAGCGGGTCCCCCGGGCCCGCCGCGCTCAGCCGCCCGCGGCCGTCCGCGGGCGCAGCGGCGCGCCTCAGCGCGGCGCAAGGCCGAGGGCCCCCACCCACAGAGGCCGTGGTGAGGCACCACGGCCAGCGGCCTGGCCAGCAGCCCGCCCCGCGGGCAGCCTGGTCTGGCCGCCTCCGCCGCGCTGCCCTGCGGCAGGCCGGCGGCGGCCCCGCTGCCCGCCGCGCCAGCTCGCCGAAGGACGTGGCGGGCTGCAGCGGGGGCGGCTGGGGCGGCCGCGGCGGCTGCGCTGGCGGCCGCGCCGACCCGCGCGCACGTAGGCCACGGCCGCCGTCGCGGCGCAGGTCAGCAGCTCCTGCGGTAGTACCGCTCGTGGAGCCTGGGCCCTCGGCCGACTCGGGCTGGCCCTGCTCCTCGACGAGCTCCCATTGCTCCAGCACGTCGTCGGGAATGACGTCGACCACGGCGTCGGGGACGGCGTCGGGCTCGACGCCGAGGTCCGCCCTGAGCGTGGCGGCGGCTGCCGTGATCAGCGAGCACGTGATGAGGGCCCGCCTTGCAGCCGAGCTGGCCTGGTCGACACTCGGCCACCTGCGAGATGGGGCGCTGCTCGGCTCAGAGGGCCCAGCAGCGAACGGGGTATCCGTAGCTAGGGAAGGCGCACCGTTCCTCGGGCGAGCAGTGCCATTCAGGGCAGCCATCGCCAGCCCACCCTCCGTAGCGGTCGACCCGTCTTGCTGAGTACCCCTGGCCTCGCTGCAGCGCCCCACGCCAGCCATGTCAGCACCTCCAGCGGCGGCCCGCCCAGTAGCGCCTCGGCCCTCGGCAGCAGGGCAGCGCACTGTGGCCGCGATGGGGTACATGATGCGCTCCGCGTCCAGCACGATGTAGTCGTCGTCCGCGATGGTGTCCGAGGAATGCTCCAGTGGGAGGGCCAGCACCTCGGAGCCCATCCGCTCGGCGCTGGACACGTTGTCGGGCTCCACGTCGCTGCCTGCGTCGCCACGCTCCTCCATGAGCTGGTCACGAACTCCGACAGCGGGACCTTCTAGGCTCGGTTCCGAGACGTGGGCACTGTGATGGCAGTCCCCCACATGACTAACCACTACGCCACGCTCATCATCTCCCCAAGCGAGGTCGACACCACCGTCACGCCCAGCAGCGAGTGAGGCACGGACTTCAGCTGCATGTCCTCCAGCGTGCGGCCTGACGCACGGGCCGAGCGCCCGCGCGGTGGTCGGCCTCGCGCCGCGGATGCGCCTATGCCTGCCTTCATCAACGGGAACTTCGAGCAGATCTGAGCTCGAGCCGTAGACCGTGCCGTAGTTCGTGCGCACCCTCTCGTCATCGTCCGCCTGGATGTCGAGCATGGAGCGGTCGCGTGGCTGTGCCTTCCTTGGGGGGGGGGGGGCATGGGGTGCTCCCAGAGCTGCTCCCCTGCCCCCCGCGCCGCCCCTCGTGGTGATCGGAACCCGCCCGCGCTGCCCCACCAGTAGCGGCGCGCTCTCCGCGCCTCGCGCCAGCGGCAGCCCCCTGGCGAGGGCTCGTGGCGCTCAACGGGCCCACGGGCATCACGACCTCCACATCATCCGCGCCCAGATCGATGCCGAGCTTGGGCACGCGTGGCGACGGCGAGCCTGGTAGCCGCAATGTCACACCAGGACCTTGCGAACTGACGCCCGTGGCGACTGAGCCTGGCAGCCGCGTTGGCACGCCGGGACTCTGCGAAGTGACGCCAGGGCTCCGCTCGGCATCGTGAGCGTCGCCGCCGTCCCGACCGTCATGTGGATGCACTGGCCCGCCAGCGACCTGCCGCGGCCGCGCGAGCACCAGGGGGCTCCGCCTGGCCCCTCGCCTGCACGGCAGCTGGATGACGTCCAGGGTGCCGCAGTCGCCGACGTCGCGCTCGGCGGTGTGCCCGTCGCCGTCGTCGGAGCACAGAGCGACGCCTGCCGTCGGCCAACGACCTTGAAGTAGTCGCTCGAGGTGCTCCCGGCCAGAAGGTGTGGCCCCTTGGCATTGGGCGAGCAGGCCTCGCCCGAGCGCGCGCAACCCTGGCCGAGCATAGCAGCCACTAGAACCACGCGCGCGCTTCGCGCGCGCTTAGGTTCTAGCTAGGAGGCGGGCTTGAGTCAACGAAAGTCGCAGGGAAGGGGGCAGGGGGAAGAAGGCCAGAGAGCGCTGAAGGATACAAATACTGGAACCCTCTTGTGATTTTGTGGGGGGCCTCGTCCGGCCGCTCGCTGGGAGTTTGACGTAGCTTCTCGGGAGCCTCTGAACCTGTCGGGGGCCTCCTGGAAGCAGGTTCGAAGCATTTTGGGGGCCGATTTGGGGCTTCTCGGGGCCTCCTTTGGGCCTCTTGGGGGTCTCCTGGGGCCTCTTGAGGGGCCTCCTTGGGGCCTCCTGGCGGCCTCTTGGGGCGGAAGGCTCGAGCTTGCGGTTCGTGGTCCCCCTCTGGGCCCCCTCTTGGGCCCGTCTTGGGGCCCTCTTGGGCCATCTTGGGCGCCTCTTGGGCCGTCTTGGGGCCCTCTTGGGCTGTCCTGGGGCCCTCTTGGAAGCTTCTTGGGCCGTCTTGGGGCGGTCTTGGAGGCCTCTTGGGCCGTCTTGGACGCGGTGAAAGCCCAAGATGCGAACATGCGAAAAATATACGTTTTCCTATAGGAATGACACGATTTTTGTTTCTTGGACCTCTCTTGGGGTGCCTCTCGGAACGTCTTGGGGTGCTTTTGGAAGCCTTTTGGCGCCTCTGGGCGGCGTTTTGGCGCCTCCTGGGATATGTTGGGCCGGAAGCTCGGAATTCGAGAGTGGCTTTCTCCTTCTGGGACCCCTCTCGAAGTCGTCTTGGGGTTCTCTTGGGCCGTCTTGGGGCCGTCCTGAGCCACTCGTGCGCAGCCTTGGAGCGCTCCCGGAGGCCTCCTAGGCCGTCTTGGAGGCCTCTTGGGCCGTCTTGGACGCGGTGAAAGCCCAAGATGCGAACATGCGAAAAATATACGTTTTCCCATAGGAATGGCACGATTTTTGTTTCTTGGACCTCTCTTGGGGTGCCTCTCGGAACGTCTTGGGGTGCTTTTGGGAGCCTTTTGGCGCCTCTTGGCGGCATTTTGGCGCCTCCTGGAGCCTCTTGGGCCGGAAGCTCGGAATTCGAGGTTGGCTTTCTCCGTCTGGGACCCCTCTCGAACTCGTCTTGGGGCTCTCTTCGGCCGTCTTGGGGCCGTCCTGGGCCACTCGTGCGCAGCCTTGGAGCGCTCCCGGAGGCCTCGTAGACCGTCTTGGGCGCCTCTTGGGCCGTCTTGGACGCGGTGAAAGCCCAAGAGGCGAACATGCGAAAAATATACGTTTTCCCATAGGAATGGCACGATTTTTGCTTCTTGGGCCTCTCTTGGGCTGCCTCTCGGAGCGTCTTGGAGGCTTCTGGGACCTTCTTGGTGTCATGACAGGCGTCTTGGAAGGCATCTGGAGCCATCGGAGCGCGTTCCGAAGCCGCCTGCGAACGATCTTGGACGGCGTCCGGCGGTCCGACGAGCCTCCGGGCCCCCCGGGGCCCACATTTGTGGTCGGGGTCCCGGCCCCGGGCCCCCGGACCCGGTGCGCCGTTATAACGTTTTCCCATAGGAGTGGCACGATTTTTGTTTCTTGGACCTCTCTTGGGGTGCCTCT